GAAAAGCACCCCAGAAGGATGGAGCATGCCAACATGTTATTCCAGTAGTGCATACATGCACGTATATGATAGCCAAATATTGAAATAGCTAATATACTGTTGTTCTACAGAGTTGTTTAAATTAGTAATATAATTTAACAATTAATAACTAGTCTGCATGTAGATAGTACAGTACTTTACTATAATAAAACATACATATGTATGCTAATTTAAGCCAGGTGGTCAGGGCGCTCGATTCGCAATCTGAGGGTCGCGGGCTCGAATCCCTGTCCCACCACATTTGTTGGTAAAAGTTGACGGTGAGTGGTGATTGACTAACTGCTTTCCCTCTGGTCTTACACTGCTAAATTGGGGACGGATAGCGCAGACAGCCCTCATGAGACGGTATTCGGTTTACGGCTGAAAATATCTTTAACTAATAAATTACCCGCGGAAAATTTACACGCCTGCTTCTGAATGACTATATATATTCTTATCAAATCTCATGTGCCTTTGTGTAGCCACTTATTAGAGTCCTCCAATTCCCTTGATCCTCAAATGAGGGGCGAAAATTAAAAATTTCCAAAATCTAAAAGAACATATTTGTTTTGAATAGCCAAAAATCCCCATCTGAGGCTTCCCATTATATAAATTAAAAAATAAAAACATTTTTGCCTAATGCTAATGTTCACACAAATCCGTTGATCCAGTTGGGAGAGACACCAGAATCTCCATTTGAGGCCGCCCATTAGATAAATAATTTTTTTTTTTTTTTTTTGCCTAATGTCAGTGTTCACGTAAATCCGTCTATCCAGTTGAGAGAGAATTCAGAATATTTTTGACCTCCACATGAGACCCCAACTTGAAAGTTTTCAAAATCTAAATACAGATTACTATTTTGAAAGGCTCTTTACGTAATACAAGATTTCAAGTAAAAATCAAACTTAAGAACCCAACAATCCCTTTATTTTAGGGCTCCTTTAGGACTCTTTCGGGGGAAAAAATTATTATGTTGCGCGGAAGTCAAAAGCCTATATACAGAAGTTTAAGTAATTTTTATTAAAACTTTGTAGGAGGACTTAAAAACTCGAGTAAACATACATATTTAGGCATAATTAAAATTACTTTATAATTAGGAGAGTATTGATTTATTAGATTATGCACTTTTAAGTTTAGTCCACTTGTTATGCAAAATTAAGTTTATTAGTTTATAAATTATGTTTTTAGTTTTCAATAATATAAGTGAGGAAAGACTAACTAACGTTAGAAAAGAAAGAACGTGTTTGAACGTTATCTATTTATGCATTTAGATCAGTAATATTTATTAAAGTATAATAGTAATTTAACAGCCGATTAAAATTAGCGAGATTCTGTTATTTACAGTTCGGTACGCTGAACTTCTTCTGCCACAATTCTCGCATCGGGGAACTATTTCTGTTTGTTTCTAGGTCAGTTCCAGCACGGAATGTTTTAAATCCAAGAGAAGCGATTGAAGGGAATCTAGGTCATGTCCAGTAAAGAGGATGTTGTGTCACCCGACTAGCTTGTAGAATATACGTAATTTTGTCGACCAATCAGAAGATAGAAGTAATCGCGTGTTGTTGAAAGCACACAGAAGTAACGTGTTAGACAACGGAGAGGTATCGTTGCCGGGGAGTGTTCATGTAAGTTCTTTAACTTAACATCATTTGTTTTATAAATAAATGTTTTCTCTTAGCGATGCACCGAAAATGGAAAGATGCCATTTAATTAAGTTCAGTATTCCACTGTTTCATACCTTAAGAATAACTTCAACATAAGACTGGTAAGTGTTTATCATTTTATTCACGTTGCGTTTCGTAGTATTGTGTTTCGCGGGAAATTTATGGGCGTGATTACGACTTCCGCTACTTATAAGCCGTTATTTGTATTTCTTTAAAATGAATGAACAGATCTTTACACTAAATGTACACATATATAATTTGACATACAGAGGAATAACCGCCTTTGTAAAGTTCCACTCAGACTACTGCATGATTGAAAAGCTTTAATACTTATAAACATGTTTATAAGTTCAGAAGCAATGAACTATATAAAGTATATCACAGCTACAATGTGTTTTTAAACAGCTGATACATTATATTGAGTCTATATTGTCATGCATTTTATCAAATATTGTTTAATTCTAATAGATTGATGTGCTATGCTAAATTATTTAAGGATGTATTTTTCGTCTTCTTAATAAAAATAAAATAAGTTAAAAATTCTGATTTGTGAGGACAAAAAACTATATATTTACAAGGTTTTTACAACGTACGATCTTGACTATGGGTGGTACCCCTACTGTTGCTTGCTGAGAGATAGGTATTTTTTCCATATTATTTCAGTTCTTATAATACGGTTACTGAATTGTAGTAGAAACTGTTTAATGTTTGAAGGGATATAAATATCTTATATATATATAAATTTTATTGAATCTATTTATTTAGTCGCTATATTTAAATATATGTGTGTGTGCGTGCGTATGTGTATATTTCACAACTATCTATATTTCATCAAAGACGTATAGCTTTGCACAATCCTGACAAGATAACTTGTAAAAATATAACATTTTTATTATGGATCATGCAGGCATCAACAAATAATACATGATCAGACCTTATCAAAAGAATAGATACATAACTTGAGTAAGGGGTTAGGATTTGGGTGAAAGAACCCACAACGTTCCAGATCCACTTACCATCTATAGCTGATTGTGCACATGGTAATTGGTATGTTTCTAAAATACACTTTTTATATATAGTATAGTAAACGACAATTATTTTTATCAGTTGTTTTATTTTCAAAAGGAAATATATTAGTAAATGATGATCGCTGCAGGGATATGACACTAATAAAAACATAATTACAGTCGAAAGAGCAGAGCTTGTATTATAATAATTACATGAAAGGCCTTATTTATCTCAACACTGGTATTAATAGATAGTGCTGTAGCTCTGGAACGTCGCGTGCATAATGTATGGTACTATCGCCAAAATTTTTATTTCACAGGTTGTTATTTTTCGATATTTAGGAATTCGTGTTTTACGTTATCACATGAACATACAAACAAACACAATTCAGTAAGCTGACATTTGTTATTTTAAGTCTGAACAGCACCTTATGCGGCATATGGGCTACACAGCTAGGTCAGAAATTTCTAAGGTTCGGACATAGCCACTCTAATTTATAACTCCTGATTAGAGGGATAGCAACTGGTCATTAGCATGTGTTACGATTGCGGCTACTCTGAATCGCACAGCAGGATTGATTGTCATAGTTACAGTTATAACGTCTCCACAAACTCCCACGGATAGACCTATATAAGCTGTACTTGACAAGAGAAGTCACCTAATGGCTGAGAGCCATTAAATTGTTAAGTTTCAAATGTAGGTGCAAAAAATCTGTGTATGATGCGTCATACCTAACTTTATTACGTGCTTTGTTTTCAGGAATAAAACTCAATCGTAAAAAGCACGTGTTTCACATCTGTTCCGGACACAATTAATGAATTAATTGGAGTACTGTAATTGTTCATTAGTTTCGTCATTCCATCTCAGAAAATAGCGAGATGTGGTAATAGATGACTCCAAGAGCATTTTACTGATGAAGAACCAAATGATCTTAGCACAGCTTATGCACGCTTTAAGTAATCGGTAACCCAAGTTATAACAAAATAAATCAATTTATTAAGAAAACAAAAATATTAACAACAGGTAATTTTTAATGACTTTCACATGTAGCAAAGATACCTAAGTTACGCTGTACAATTCAAATAGCACTTATTTTGCAAGTTCACGATTCTCTGCCACTACGTTTATGACGCTAAAATCGGGGCTAGAGTACACAGCACAAATAGCCCATTGTGTAATTTTGCGCTAAATCAAATAATCTTCACCACTGAGAACATCCATGGTAATAAAAAATTATAAACAATTCATTATTTAGTCAGTTACTTAAAAATTAATGTTAGTAATGTTAATAACTAATAAATAAATGTAAAGAAGATTGTAGAAGAGTGCTGACGAGTATTTTTACCGAATACCTTGGTTGATCAGGTTGGCTTGGATACCACACTGGTGCTTTGAGGCACTTATTTATATTATCAAACAACAGCTGTTACAGTGTGAATTAAATGAAGTTTGTGAAGTGTAACTATTATCCGTTTTATATGAGTCATTTCCAAATCAGAATTTGGATGTGGATTGATAACAGTATTTATTTATTTATTTTAACACCAGTTGTTTGTTTATTATTTATTTTTACGTTAATTAATTTTATTCGTCATTCAGCAATACTAGCAAACCAGTAAGATAGTCTTCTTGTAAAGTAAAGACAGGAAATCGGTCAATTCCGAAAGGTTCTTCTAGCTTATAAGATTTAATCCTTATCTTTATCAGTGTTAAATAGAACATACTTTTTTGTGTTGAAATATATTTATTATGTATATATGTCTAGAAAATTTCTAATTTCACAATATTGTATTTCACCCTCCACCCATCTACATGTTTATATTATATTATAAAGAATAAAACCTGAAAATTAATTCAAACCTTCTTTTAATACAGGGGTTGAGTATGTTATATTAAAATGATTTAGAGCCTCACTTCCGATCATGCATTTGGCATAGCCCTGCAGCGTAGCTCCCATTGTAAAAGGCTCCTTCATAAGATTGTAACGTCTAAAGCACACCTCTACTTGCAAGCTTTCCATAATATATCTAGTGTACGAATATATCAGTTTTGAAGTGTGAAACTACAAACCTGTTGGATAAGACGGCCATGAATGCTTTGTAGTTATTATGGATTTCAGCTGGAAGGTTACCAATGTAAGCAAAGCTGGTCCTTTTAACTGGGCAGCATAATTAATGTATTGTTGCTTATTGTTCCACCAGTTTACTCTGGAAATGATTTCTACATGAACCTCCCATGGTACCTTAACATTAAAGTCTGTTGGTTTCTCGATTAGGCGATGTTTAATTGACCACCTAAATTCGGGAACTGGATTTGTTAGCGTCATGGCTGGAGTAGTCCAGGAAGGTCCTTCAGTAACAAGTGCAACAGCAGCAGTGGTAATAGGTTAGACCACCTAAGTTCTCCTATTCCATATATCGTAGCAGATGGCATTTCAGGCTGGAACTTCTGAGCCGATGCCGAAAGAGGTGTGCCTGGTTTAATCTTCACATTTACTAATTCATTTTCCAATGTCTTAATGTTTTATTCTGTCACTTGTGTTCTTTTCTACTTCAATAATGCTCTTTTCTACCTTGTTGATGTCTTTCTTTACTTCATTCGTGTCTTTTTCTACATTCACAACTTTATCGTCACAAACTTTCTGTACTTCTTTGATGTCCTTCTACATTTCTTTAAACTTGTTGTAATCCCTCTAGAATGCCACTATAGCTTTATCGATCTTGTCGTCAAATGAATTTATTTTTGATTTTAATTATTCTTGAAGTAGTTTATTTCATTATTTTAACTTCCATGTTAAATACTTGCACTTTCTTCTAATATTTTGACTGGTTCTTTGTGGTCTTTTTTAATTTTCTATTGTCCCCTCTTGGTCTTCTTTAAATTTCTTAGCTATTTCTTCTTGATAATTTCATCATATCTAATAATGCTTGAATCTACCCTCGAACGTACCAGAACATTTGACGTCGAAATCTAGGATGTTTTAGGTCCACTTCCACAAACGTACTTGATCTTAACAAACAAGTTGCAACATTAAAAATATAGCTTATAATAATATCTAACGATCGAATGCCTATTTGGTGTATAGAATAGCGAGTGTGTGTGTGTGGGGGGGGGGGGGGGGTAAGTATAAGCAACAAGTTTAAATTTGAATGATAAAAACACAAAGCTCAGATTTATTGCCATTTTGGAAGGTATATTTTAAGGTTTCACTTTTATTTCCAGAAAAAACTAGTGTCCATTCGATTTATAGCGTACCTTTTTTATGTGATATTGGAAGTTGAAATTTATATTTCAAATGTATCGAAATAGTCAATAAACAATTTTAAAAAATAAGCAGATTTTTAATATTATTAAATTACAAAAAAAACGCACCAGTTATTTTGGCTTATGTTTACTTCTATACCATACAAACAATGCTTCTCTTATTCAGTTCTTATAAAGCTGTTGTTTTTACTAGATTTATACTTTTAGCTTTGTTTTTAAGGTATTCTTTTGCAAACAATTAACACACACTAGGGTATGTTTACAATGTTTTTACGAAGAAAGTCTGTTGTACATTTGTTAGTTGAAATTTTAAAAAACATTTGCATGAAATTGTGTTTTTATCTCTGTCCACACATGTTGACTTTGTACAAACACAGAAAATATGTGAACATTCAATTACATTTCTTCAATAGACACCAAACGGAAAACGTGAAAAGCAAAGAAATGCCCTGCTTCTCTTGGACCATTGTGTTATTTGGTACCATCGGCTGGACTGGTCTCTATTGGATTTTGTGCTATTTAGACAGGGGCAAAAAACCCGAGTGGCATTGTAGGTTAGTTACTATAGTTCATGGAACTACAGTGTCTGCACTATCAGCGTGGAACGCGTTTGTGGTAGGCCCCTGGCCTCTAACTAATATGGGTAAGTCATTTGTATACTTATCAATGTGTATAGAGGTCCTTAGAGTATACTTGTTTTATCTTTCATCTGTTTTTTTTTTTTCATCTATATTTCGACTTTTGTTATTGCATTTCATAGGAGCGCAAACATGAGTAAATAAAAGACAATGCAATAAAAATGAAAATAACTTTATTTCATAGATTTTTGTTTCGGATATTGACTACATGTTAGTGCAGTCAGAGCTACGAGATGAAAACTGTCTATAACTCTCGAAAGTTTAACAGGTTCAAACGTATACAAATACTCACTGGGACAAGAATGGTGACGTGTTTAACAAGGTGACCCAGTATCCAACTAACCTAGTTTCGTCATGCTCAAGCAACAAGCTATTGTATATATATTTATAGCAGTTGGAGACCCACCTCTGTACATCTAAGACTATCACAAAATATTCTGAGTAGCACACTATTTTGTTAAAACTTCAGTCAAGAACATTGTCTAATCCCCTTTTTTGTAACAAAATAGTTTGCTACTCAGAATACGTTAAGTCTGTTTGATAAATTGTATGATTATGTGTTTCAAACAGCAGTAACGCGTCTATATTACACGAGAAAAGGTTAATTGAGACGCGACATAAAAACTAAATATTTCTACCTGTTTTACGGGATTGATCATAGTACTATTTCAGTCCAAGGTTTGGGTGAAATACTATTGACTGGAGCACTTTTTAAGTTTACGAAAGGCTTTACTTGTTTGTTAGTAGTTAATTAAGCATAAAGCTACATAATGGTCGTTGCTGTACTAATTCGGGGATCGAGGCACAGATTTTAGCGTTATAAGCTCTCATGATTACCGCTGAGCCACAGGTTGGGAGGGGGGGGGAGAAAAGTGCAAGCCTTGAAATCCCAATTTCTCCACAGTGTATAAAAAAATAATGTGTTTATGTTTTATGAAGTAACAAAAATGTAACAAATGGTTGAAAATGTTTGTCATAATGAAAACTTAACGGTTTTAGTGCGAATATTTACGTAAGTATCTCCTTTCTTAGCTAATCAGTGTATATTTTTTTATCTAGAGAAAAGTAGTCATTTTAAGAGTATATATTTACTTGGATTATTAATTAACCATCCTAAGAGTATGAAGAAAACAGGTTTTAAAGGCGCTTTTTAATGTAGGCAATCTTAGATTGAAAGAACTAATACACCAAAACAGTTTCCAAATAAACGCAAAGAATATCCAGCACCATTAAGAAAAGAAAAAACACACATACACATTTGTATAGTACTTTTTTATGACATTTAAGCATGAACAGTAAGCCATGCTTTTGTCTTTGGACTAATAAAATAACCAAGGTATTGAAACCTATTATTTAACTTTTATTTAAAAGCTAAACTACGTGAAACTGTAATATCTGAAAGCTGTGGCTAAATTTTGTTAGCGTGGATTTCTGGTAATAAGCTTTATTTAAAAGTATTTTCCTTCGAAAGATTAATGAATTGCCAATAGATTTGCGGTAGATTCCACAGTGGACAATACATGTAGTGTGTTTGCTCTCGATCACTTTATTACTTTAAACATGGAAAGGTGCAGAACCCAAAAGTAACAGATCTGTTGTTCATTCTAGTTAGCACATATTTTTTCCATTTCATATCGGTTGATACGTTTTTAAACTCAAAAGATGTAACATTAGAGAAGATTAGGCAGTCGCATTGCAGAAAATCTTGGTCAAAGTATTCAAACTTTATGCTGTGCAGCATAAAATCTCAAACAAAATTAAATGTTCTGGTACTTTGAGATAATATAAATAGTTAACGTTATTTAGAAAGAAACACTATGTTAATTTCATCTTATGATTCTTAGATATGGTAGAATTGGTGTTTGTAAGGAAAATGTTAACCATAGTTAAAGGCCTATTCTAACTTGCGGCTTTATTCTGGGCAGTATTCTGGAACGGGATTTAGGTCAAGGTTTTAAGTGACCTACGAGGATCAGGTGCATTATAACCTGGGTACGCTCGTTCTATGCTAAATAGGTCGATCATGGCTGGAGACGGCTTGAATGGGTAATGAAGAAAAACTTTAATAGAAGTTTAACATAACAACAAATGTGCAACGTTTCGACAAGGTTTTGTCATCATCAGGTACCTTGTTGAAACGTTGTACATTTGCTGTTATATTAAACGTATATTAAAGTTTTTCTTCATTACCCATTCAAGCCGTCTCCAGCCATTATTAGTATCAAAGTGGGTTCCTCGTCATCGAATTTAAATAGGTCGATGTTTTGTTATTACTATTATGGAGAGTCAAATTCATTTACATGTAGGAAAATAACTTTATGGTTGATATATTAAGTGTGCTCCAATGTGTAATTATCAAGAAGAAATTAATTAGGTTTATTAGAACAGGTTTATAATGGAAGACTAACTTAAATCTTACAGAGTTTTTTAGATGTGTTAGGAGGACTTCCATTCAGACTTGGAAGGCATTTTTTTTCCGAAGTATTTCCTAAGAATTTAAGTTACCGAACTATTGTGGCGCCATCTGGTAAATGTATATAATATATGATAAAAGTACTGTTTTATTTTTTCAAACTAAGTGTTACTCAATAATTAACCTTCAAATAGTTCTATTTTACTGTATTATATATATATATCACATTAATTGGTAGATTGTATTCTAATTTATGTATATGCTTTTTTTTTTTCTATATGGCGTCAAAAGTTATATAGTTATATGTTTAGTGAATCAGAAAATATTATCTTTCAGTTACAAATTTTTTTTCGAAATCGACCTTATAATAACAATTTAAATACATAAACTGAAAGGCGAAATTGAGAACATAGGAAATGTGCTTTAAGAAGATTATTGCAAATTCAGAATCTCAAACACCAGATATGTATTTTATACAGCTGCTCTCACAGCTGAGTTGAAGGTTTGATCACGACATGCTTGATGCTAGTCGTCATTTTAGATATACATTCAGAATAATTTATTTCTAGCATTAGTTTTGCTATTGTGAGTTCCTTCATAATGACAGTAAATGGAATTGGATAAATATTTTTATCATGCCTTAATGTTCATTTCCAGGTGAACCAAATACCCCGGAACAAGAATTTACTATGGCCATTTGTCTGAGCTATTTTTTGTTTGACCTGGCGTGGTGCTTACTTCACAAAACGGAAGGTAACTGCTATTATAAGTAGATGCATACATATTCAATAATAAAATAAGATCGTTTATCTTAGCCAAGGGAGGTAAAATTTAGGGTTAAAGTTTTGTTAAAAAAACTGATTGCTATACCATACTGGATGAGAATTTCTTTTAAGGAACTTAAAATAGTGTAGAGAAATGCAAAGGTTTTCGTATTGAGGAAACAAAATCAAAATCCAATGACATATATAACATATTTTACCAAGGATCTGTGGGAAAAAAAGGGTAGTTTTATTTCAGTTTTAATTGAAACATAAAATACTCAAAGGATATTTATTTAATTAGTCGAACTATTTTTCTTAGTTGGAACAAGAAATAATTGTTTTATTGTTCTAATATATAGAATTTATCGTTTTGTATAAAATACATACAACATTTAAATACAAGTCCAAAGATACTACTTTTGAGTGAATTATTTATTTTTATTTAACATTTTTACGACTTTTCGACCACTCGTGTAGCCATCATCAGATAACTGTCTCTATTTTGTGAAATACTGAGCGAGCATTTTGTTCCAATTTAGAAAACATAGGGTGACACCTGAGTTTTTGTTTAAATTGGGTTTTAGTTCATGAAATATTAATTCATCTTTTATTTTTCTTCCATTAATGTTGTTCTCATTGCTGCATAATATTTTAAAGTTGTTAATGTTAATTGGATGTTGAGTTGTGCTGTGTTCGTAAATCTGTGATGGGATTGCTATGTTCGTTGATCCTAATGCTTATTTTGCGTCCCGTTTCGCCTATGTAAGTGATATCACATCGATCGCATTTATACTTGTAGATACTTCCATCGTTGAAGTTATCAGAATAAACCTTCCTAGGATGATCTTTGATTTTAGTGCTCGGTTTTGAATAAAAAAACACATAAAGAACACAAATTAAACACATTTACGAACACAGCACAACGAATCAACACCCAATTAAAATTAACAACTTTAAAATATTATGCAATGAGAACAACATTAATAGAAGAAAAATGAAAGAAGCATTAATTATTTGTGAACTAAAATGTAATTTAAATCAAACACAGGTGTCACTCTTATATGTTTTCTAAATCGGAACAAAATGCTCGCGTAGTTTTTCATAAAATAGATACAATTACCTGATGATGGCCACACTAGTGGTCGACACGTCGTAAAAAAAGTTAGATAAAAATATACAATCCACTCAAAAGCTGTATCTCTTGACTTTTATTTATAGTGTATAGGGGTGTTCCTCTCCTCACATACAACCTTTTGCTACATTATTATGAAAAAGGCGTAGGGGGAATTAGACAACGTGTAATAAATGTGTGAAATTTAATGGAATAATTACTTCATGAAGAAATAACGATTGAAAAATATAAGGTACTATTTATAAAAAAATAGAAAACATACATTTTTGATCCGATACTGAAATGTATTTTAAGAGAATGAGGAGATAAATTGATCATGCTAAGTAAGTGTATTTTTTATCTAAACACTAATTCTAAAGTTAAGGCAAAACAGTTATATTTTTTTGCGCTAGAGGGTTATTTGGAATATGTTTAGTGTTTTAAATAAAAGAAAAAGGAAATAATTTGGTTACCATAATTTCCATATCGTTGTTGTTTTTTTTGCCGCTTTATTAAATTATTTATAATACAAAAGAATCTAAAAAGTCTGTTATTATTTGTGAGAGTTGAGCTTGAAAGGCAGAAAATCATATCAATTTTAGTAAGTGATTAGTGTTGACTAATTCTTCAATTTAATAACTTCTGATTTTGTCACTTGTCAAAAGGGACTATTATAGCTTAAAATCAAGGACTCGGTATAATGAAATATACAGAATAAGTAACGAACCTCTATATTGGTAAGTACTATAGACGTGTTTCAATGCTACCAACGGCATATTGGAGTGCATTCGGAGGTAGCATGGTAATTAGAGTTCCAAGCTGCGGATCGAAAGGTCCAGCGTTCGAGGGATAATAGACCCTGACACGTTCAGTACTTCCAGTTGTGGGCGGCAGGCACCTAAACAATGTGTGGGTTGGGGAACAAATAACCAATAATATTTATTGCTAATATTGATAATTGCTATATGGATATCTACACGTGTAAAGGTTGCACATTTTTGTGCAAAGTAACTGATAGGTCGTACATAAAGTAAACTTCATAGTGTAGTATAAAATATGATTGCATATATCTATATAATAAAATCCCGAGGTTTGCACAAAGGTAAAATTTTCCACCCCACCCCCTTTTGGAATCCGGGGATTTCCCGAAAACTTCTTCTCCTAAACTGTTGGACTCACCAATTTCTAATTGGTGCCAAACGAATCGTCTCCTTTCCAAGGATTCCACAAAGGTAAAACTTTTCATCCAACCTCTTAGGAAACCTGGGTATTTTGTGAAAAACAATTCAACGGGGATTCCCTGAAAGCGACCTCCCAAGTTTTGCTTTGACTTACATTAGAGCATGTAAATAAGTAGGCCTACTAATTACCGTTCGTAACTTGGTTAAAGAAATTAAATTGGCATTATAGCGGCAATGATCAGTAAACTAAAAAAATGCAAAATAGTAGTTGAAGCATTAAATTTGCAGTACAGCGGCTCTTTAAATATGGGCCATAAGCCCACGGTTTCTATAAAATATAAAACAATACGTATAGTACATGTAACACAACCCGTATAATATCAGTACATAATACATCGGCGTGTATACACAGTATACGGAACGAAAACATTATACAAGGGACAAGTGATCAACTACCTTCATTAAATATCAACAGCAAAGTAGTTCTAAATAGGATCATGAATAACATCTAACCTGATCGACGTAAGTCGTTCTGATTCTACCATTAAGTCACAGAAACATTATTCTGCCAAGGTACTACGAAGCTTACTTGCAGTGACGCTACATTCCCATTCAGATAGACAAATATAATTAATACTAAATTTTTTTTTGCCCAATTCCTCTATTTTAAAAATAATGCACACTGAGTTCACATGTACTTTTTCTGGGCATTCTTGAAATTTATTTTTTGTTATAACATGACATGATCTTTTACACTTTTACTGATCACCTAAGAAGAACAAGAAGAGCGTATACTGGTTCATTATTTTTACACTGATCACCTAAGAAGAACAAGAAGAGCGTATACTGGTTCATTATTTTTTACTTTTGGACTCACACCTTTAACGTATTCGGCTTATCATAGCAATAAAACGTTTTTGTTATGCCTGCGGCCAAGACCTTGAATAGTGTATATTCCTTCATATTTTAATAATTTAAACACACTCAGAGTTAATAGGAATTTGTTATTCACAAAATACAACACATACGTAAACGAAAATTCGAAATTATATTTTACACGAAGTCTGCTTTTAAGTAGATACGTACTTTCACTTTTAAAACTATTTAGATAGAAATAAAACGAGATAAAAATATTTGTGAATCGCCCGAAACTTGGTGTTGTAATTACATTATGGACTAATAGTGATTAAATATCAGGTATTATTTGCCAAAATACATTTTATGTGTAGTTCCTGTGTTCTTAAAGGTTCGCCTTTTTTACTTAGTAAACTCACCAGCATGTAAAAAAAAACAGCTAAGTAACAATGTGTTGTATGTCTAAATAACAGACTTTTTTTTAACTGTCAATATACTTCTCAACACAGTGTACATCTGTGTGAAAGTTTGTTTGTTTGTTT